TACTACTCCAGTGATATCTATCTAGGTCAATGATGTATGAACTCAAGAAACTGTTTATACTTGCTATATGTCAAATAAAATTAGTATTTGTAGTTAATTATTTGAACTGAATTAGGTCAACTCACTACCATGTCAAATTGTAACCATAATTTACTCTTAAGCCACAAACCCCATGCTTACGTAGTTAGAATTTTTTTTTGAACAAAGTCGAGGATTGTGCATTCATTATTAATTTTATATGCTACTAGAATCTTCTCTAATTTGCCTTCATGTTGCCTGAAGAACTTTTAATTTTAAGTGAATGGATCCCTAAGCATAATCCTTGCCTTCATTCAGAACTCTCTTTCTGTCTAGAATACTTTCATTAATGTTACCGATCATCAGGGACCATTCTATTTTTCGATATCTCATTATGATTTGGGAAATTTGTTAAACTTTTATAAAATATTTTTAACTTAACTTATCACTATTGTCCACATTCTGTTAAATATGTGCTTTCAGTTTAATAAATACAGGGAACCACAGCAACCTGAAAGGGTCCAGAATAGTTTAAATGTGTTTCTTCCTTACCTACCTCACAAGCATTTTGAGTCCAACATTCAGATTTGAATTCAAATTATTGATTTCTCAACATGATATATTTTCCCATTGCTCTCTCATCATGGTCTGGTACTTTCTGGTTGTCCTTTTATAATCTCAGATTATGGCTATTGGAAAGTCAGGAAAAGAGAAAAACAGAAATTTCAAAATGTCCCTTCCTCTTCATACTCACTATCACCAGTTGTCATTTAGATACAAAGTTCCTTCCTGTCCTATGAAACACAAATCCAACTATCCTTTACCCTTAGATACAATAATTTAGGTGTTTTTAACTGTACTTTATTGTCAAATGCATCAAATTGAAACTGTTCTATATGGATTTCTATGATATCCTCCCAGAAGCATATAAACAAATTATTTTGTCACTAAATATAATGCTCTATTTATACAAATATCTTAAAATTATATTATATAAAAATTTATTTCTTCTAAACCATAGAAATGACACCTTTTCTCCTCTAGTGTTTATGCCATATCAGCTTTAAATGAGAAATTCCCTACATAGTTTTTCCAAGAAAACTTCTTTGGTTAATTCAAATATCACTATTTTTTTCCTGCTCTATTTTCTTTGATGCTATATTACCACAATACTTATGAAATGCCTAGGATATTTTACTAATTTTATGTATGTATGCATGTGTCTATGATACTTTATTTTTTCTGAATTTATTAAATTTCTTCATGACAAAACTTACAATTAACAATTCATCTAAAACCCTTAGTGTACCTAAAATAGCATTTAAAGACAATGTTTCCAATTCAGTATAATGATCCTAAAAACAATAAAAGTAGACTTTGCCACTTTGAATATGCACTATTAGATGAACTAAGTAGATACTTAGTAGATACTGATATAAGCTTTCTCCTCCCAAATGCTATGCATATTTTAATATACCTCATTTAAGAATGAATATTGAAGCAACTCACCAAAAGCCATATTTTCTTGATTTATATATTCATATTGATGGCTTCCTTGCTATTAATAATTACTGCATGCATAATCTCTCTCAAAAGTAAACTTTTCTTATAAGTCTTCCTGTTGCTTTAAAGGCAGTGGGGACTCTTGCAAAATATACTTCTGTACAGGAGTCAACTAATGACATTTTTACAATTGCCAAGAAATTTTGGAGGTACATAAATACACCCTTGAGTAAAACACAGACCTGGAAACTATGCTCCATGATTGTGTTGTTTATTGTACATATAACTATTTGACCTTGGAGACACAGACCCTGGAGAATCATGATTGAATAATTAGAGGATGCTTCCTCTTCTTTAATTTAGAATGAAATTTCTTTTATACCATTAACATGTTGTGTTTTGTTCATAAGAAAAGTTTATATGTAGAGGCTGTATTCTGAAAATGGCAAAAATAACACCACTCTCAAGTCTATTGAAAAACCCGATACATTGGAAAACCACATAGTGGTTTTCCATTTTGAATTCATGTACTTGTGCATGTGTTTAACAATGCACTTAACATTATACAACACATATTTTTACATTCATCTCTGTACTCCTATTGTTATTCCCTGAGTACTCCTGAATATATCTTAATTTTTATAGGTATTTTAATGATATAATTGACAGTGTGGGGATATATCAGGTATCTTAATTGTGGCCATAGGAACAGCTGCACTCTGAAGTACAGCCCTGTAGGTCATAGAGCTGATTGTTTTTTAATTCATCTATGTGATTCCTGAATCTGCTAATCAAGTGATCACAAAAGAGAAAGGAAAGAAAACCTGCTGGATGCCCAGCAGCTGCTGGCAATATAGGCACACTGTACCTGTGCTCGGGTGGTATTCAAGCAGGTGCATAACCTGGTAAAAAGTACCCCTGACCAGGCCTACGTATGTACTCTTGGAGAAGGATATGAGAAACCACTATCAGCACAGGCTGTGATGCAGACCTACTCCACACTCTCACCGAAAGTACATGCACCTGGACTTGCCAGTCCAGCTCCGTGGTCCAGCTCCCAGGGTCACCGTGTGAGCAGGGCCCTCCAAGGCAGTGAGTAGAACCTCTGGGTTTTGGCAGAAGTGTCCTCACTCTCCACACCTGGAGTGGACGAGGACTGGAAGACACCCTTTTAACAAAGTGATAGAACAATATTCCCCCCAAATGGGACATCGTGACATCAAATGTCTTTTGATGGGACTCAAAATTGCCTATACCCAAAGGGCCTTTGCTGGTGTGATTAAGTTAAGGATCTTGAGATGAGGAGATTATCCTGAATTATCTTAGTGGGTCCTAAATAGAATGGTCTCCCCTTACAGTGGGACACAGAGGAGTCAGTCAAAGGGATGTCGATGGGTTGAAATACAGATTGGAGGGATGTGCTCTGACGACGGAAGAAGAGGCCACAAGCCAAGGGATACAGGAGCCACCAGAAGCTGAGAAGGACGAGAACATGGATTCTGTCCCCAGAGCCTCCAGAAGAAACCAGCCCTGCCATCACCTTGACTTTAGCCCAATAAAGCTGATTTGGACTCCTGACCTCCAAAACTGTAAAAGAATAAATTTCGTTGTTTTAAGCCACTAAATTAGTGGTAATTTGTGGCAGCAGCAACAGGAAATTAATACAGGCTCCTCTCCAATCTCTTTGCCATTGCCAGTTGTTTCCCGTTTCCCCTCATTACTTTCTGCCAACAAGAGTGTTCTTGTGGTTTAAGATGAGAGGCTCTGGAGTTAGACTTCACCCCTGGTGGCACCTCTGACTACTGTGTGACCTGAGTCATGTTGCCTCCCTGGGTTTCAGTGTCCTCACAACATGGCGGTCAAATTGGACAATGTAGAGAAGTCTCTGGCTGGCAGCCTCTAGTTTATGTCAGGCCTGCCCCTAAGTCTTCTTTAGCTCTCAGTGTTTTAACGCTTTACATTGTATTATTTTGAACAGGACAATATGTTAACATTGTATAAAATTGGAAAAGTATTTAAAAAATGTTTCCAGTGAAAAGTTACTCTCTCTTCCACCTCTGTCCTGAGCTGTCCCAGTTTTCCCCTGCACCTGACATATTCTGCCAGAGATATTTCTATACATATAACAGAAATTTCACACACACACACACACACATGCACCCACTTTAAATAAATAATAATATGCCATATACTTCCTGTTTGACACTTTGCTTTTATTATTTAATATATTTTAATGTTCTTTCCATATCACTACAAAGGAGACTTCCTCACTTTTGTTAATAGCTGCATAGATACCAGTTGTATGGATGTGCCATAATGTATTTCTCTAGGTTTACCAGTGAAATTATAAGGTATTTCCAATATTTTGTTATTAAAACAGTGCTGGCATATATAACCTTATAAATATATCATTTTGCAAGATAGTGTCATAGTACACATTTCTAGAAATGGATCTGCTTGGTCAAAAGATATGTACATGCCTATAACATTTTTAAAAAGGGAAAATAATCAGGGTTGCTGAGAATGTGGAAAAATTGGACCCTCATTCATTGCCGATGATGAGACTATAAAATGGTGTGACTGCTCTGGACAATGATTTGGCAATTCCTCAAAAAGTTGAACATAGAGTTGCCATATGACATCATTTCTACTCCTAGATATTAATATACAATGAAGGAAAATCAAAACAAATATCCATTAAAAAAAACTTATAAGTGAATGTTTATACCAGGATTATTCATAGCAGCCAAAACCAGAAACAACTCAATGTCCATAAAATAGCAAAAAGGCAAAAAATTGGTGGCATATCCCTGCAATGAGGTATTATACATCTCTAATCTAACGAAGTACTGAGACACACTACCAAATGGATGGACCTTGAATTTCACACTTCAAAAGACTTACATTGGACTGGACCTTGACCTGGGAAAACATAAGGTAAAGTCTACTAACACAGAAACCTTTGTATTACAACATGTGAATCAAATACTTGGCTTAAGTAGTCTGAGATTCATCCTCAATGATATTTATAATGTTAAAGTTATTTTACTAAATATCAGAGTAAACAGACAATTAAGGGTTACCAAACATTCATGTACTGATTTGATAGTGAACTATTATACCACTAATCTCAAGATAAATAAGTAATATTTCTAACATTATATTTTATGATATAATAACTTATCATTGATTAACTTCCTGACCATGTCTTTTACATCCTTGTTCCTGAGGCTATAGATCAGGGGGTTAAGCATGGGAATGACCACAGTGTAAAAGACAGAGCCCACCTTGACCGTGAGCCATGAGGTTTTGGAGGTAGGAATGCAGTAGAGAAACAGGATGGTTCCACGGAAAATGGTAATGGCGGTCATATGGGAGGCACAGGTGGAGAAGGCTTTATGGCGCCCCCCCAGGTGGAGGCATCTTCATGACAGTGATAAAAATAAAAACATAAGATGTTAGAACAATAATCAGGCTGCTTATTTCATTGAATGTGGCGGAGACTAAAATGATCTTCTAGCTAATGTAGGGGTCAGAATAAAACACAACAACAATGGGAGCATGTTCACAAAGTTATTCATGAACTTAATTCTACAAAAAGGTTAGATCAACAAAAAGTATATGTATGTTAAGGAACACATTGTACTCTAAGAGTATGACACAGTCACCAAAAAGTAGCAAAGCTTCTGGGACATTGCAACTGTGTAGAGCAGAGGGTTACAAACTGCCACAAATCAATCATAGGCCATCACTGCCAACATGAACGTTTCTGTCACCATGAAGATGCAAGCAAAGGAGAACTGCATGATGCATCCTGTGAAGGAGATGGTCCTGTCCTCCACAACCAAGTTCTCCAGAAGTTTGGGTGTCACCATGGTGGAATAGCAGAAATCCACAAAGGACAAGTGGCTGAGGAAAAAGTACATGGGGGTGTGGAGTTTGGGGTTGATCCTGATGATCAGGATCATGCCCAGGTTCCCCAGCACCGTGATTGTGTAGACGGTCAGGAACACCAGGAACAGGGGCACCTGGAGGTCCTCATATTCTGAGAAGCTCAAGAAGATAAAGATGACTCCAGCAGTCTGGTTTTCTTGGTTCCTGGGACAAAATAGGAAAATTGATTCAGAGAAATGTGAAGAAAAGTTTGGACAAGGCAGATTAAAATGAGGAAATGTTGAGAGGCTTAATGATTATTCGTGAAGAGTGCTATGGAAAACAGTTTCAGCCATTATGTTATTTCAAAAGCTAGATTTATTAATATCACAGTTATAAAAGAAATATTAAATTGGTGTAAGTGGAATAATAAAAGATGGGATTATTGAGGGGAAGAAAATAAGTGCAGTTGGCCCTGGTGTATTTTAAACAATCAAACTCAATATTATCAGAGGCAACTGGGTTCATGAGAAGGGCCAGTCTAACTTTTTGTAAGAATCAGAGTTTCAAAGTAAAAGTTAACATAAGTTTCAACAATTTATTTCCTTCCTTCCCTTTTAAACAATGGAAAGTTAGAGCTCAAAAAAGAAAATTAAAAGAATTGATGACTCACTATAATGGTCATTCCATTTTTTTTACTATTTTTACTATAGCTATTTCTAAAGTTCTGTTTCCAGTTATCTTACACTTTCACATATTTCTCTCCATATATTTTAGATCTTTCCTGTAAAAGAATAGTGCACTTAATCATCCACAGTTACCTAATTTTTGACAATTATAAATATCTGTTACCTCTTTTTGATGTATTATAATGGCAGGTATTCAGAATGATTTTGGGTGAAACAAACTTAATATTAATATGTCCAGATCATTTTAATTATGCTGGAGAGTTTTCTATAACATTGTGCTCAGTTGGTGAATGCAGTCTACCTCAAATTCTGCAAAGATTAGACCAGGCATCCTCAAACTATGGCCCGAAGGCCACATGTGGGTGTTTTTGCCCATTTGTTCTTTTACTTAAAAATAAGATATGTGTAGTGTGCATAGGAATTTGTTCATAGTTTCTTTAAACTATAGTCTGGCCCTCCAATGGCCTGAGGGACAATGAACTGGCCCCCTGTTTAAAAAGTTAGATGAATCCTGGATTAGACATTGCTTACTGATAAATTACTATGGTTTTTATTTAGTTGGATTTTTTTTGTATTAAATTAGTTTCAGTAGACACACAGAGAGTACTTCCAATACTCTATTCTCTTAGTTTCTTTATCTCTTCCAACAATTGTATTTCTACTTAACTTATTCCTCATAGCCATGGTTATACTATTAACTATGTCATTATCAGTAACTAAAAACCCTGAAAAATATCAATGTCAAGCAACACCTATAACAATATATATTTAACTTTTTTATCATTTACCATTTTATCAGTGTTATTCCACAATAAAATATAATGCACAAGGGCAAATATGAAACACTAGGATATAATAGGTGCTCAATAATACTCATTGACTAAATGAAGGTATATGTGAGGGAATAAGCTGCCGGGCAGGTGGGAAGGGGAGGAGGGGATGGGTATAGACACACCCAATGGGTGTGGTGCACACCGTCTGAGGGACAGACACACTTGAAGCTCTGACTCAGGTGGGGCAAAGGCAATATACATAACCTAAACATTTGTACCCCCATAATATGTGGAAATAAAAAAAAATAAAAATAAATGAAAAATAAGCTGTTGGTATATAATATACATATATTGGGGTAAAAATTTATAATAATACTAAAGAAGTTAGACTTTCCTATTACATCAAGACCACACAGTAAACTTACAATACAATGGGACACATATTGAGTCCTACACAGCAAGTAACTGTAATGAAACCCCATGGGACCTAAGCATCCTAAATTAGCATAGAATGAGGACATTGGTGGGGCTGGGGAAATGATACGCTGGATTATTTTTTAAAATGTTCTTAGTGCCTTCAAAATAACTCAACTGCCCTTTTCTGCCATCGTATTCCAGAAAATACTTCATCACTGCTTACTGAAAGCTAAAATAAGACTAAGCATTAAGGAAATACAATTTGACATAGAATTCTCTAAAAACTGCATGCTTCATCACAAACCGAAATTAAATGCTCTAAAGTTTTCACTGAGTCATTATGATTTTATCCTCCAAGATGATATATATAGCAATTATGTTTCCTGCGTCTATATATGAAGATATAACTCATATATACCTTAAGTTTTTCTTCTTTATTTGCTTCTTTAGATTCATTTGATTTGATGTTTGTGATTTGATCTTCTACTACATTTATTACTACTTCCTAAATGTATTTCTCAGTTTAACACAAAATACTTTGAGTGCAAATTTTATATCTGAGTACACTTTTATTCACTTTTTCAAACTTTTTCCAAAGTCTGTATTCTCTTCCTGGAGTTGCTGTAACGGAAATCTGAGCAGCCCAGGGTCGAAAGGAAAATTACCACTGTCAAAGACAAAAATATATTTTCTTATATATAGTCATCTCATTCTTACCCACACATCTTTTCCACATGTTTAGCTTTTTAATCCACCTCCTACACTCTGTATTTATATAAGCAGACTTGGGCCAGAATTCACAATCTCCCAATTAGTCGCAGGAGCTGTCATCCACGTTCAGCTGACTGAGGGCTCAAGGTGCTGTGCACACTTTTTCCCTCCTATCTAGTGACAGCCACCTTGGTTTTCTAATTGCATATTTACTGTGTATCCAGCACAGTAATAGGCATTTTAGAAACTATAAAGTTATAAAATATCAGTCCTGTTCCCCAAATTTATTTGCCTCTAAGAATTAATTCTGAGAAATAATGTGTATAATTGCAATGATACAACACAGCATATAATTCTCGTAACTTATTAAGCCTAAAGTTTGTGTGTCTAAAAAGAAAGAGAAAATTGTTATCAAGAAAAATGAAAATTTTCCTGGTAGTGCAGACCAATTAATAATAATCAATATGGTGAGAGATAATGCATCAAATATGTCTAATTAGAGGATCTAGGTAGTAGTCATAGCAGTTAGATTTACACACGAGTTTGCCTCCTGCAAAGATTACTGAAACACATTATTTTCCTTCTAAAGTGAAATAAAGAATTGAATCAACTCACCTAAGTGCAGAAGAATTAGATTTATTCATTTACTATAAAGCTTCTTCGAAAAGATTAATAGACTCCAGAAAAGTTCCTGCTGAGAATTCAAATTTTAAACATTATAGCAAACCTGAAAAAAGTAGCAAGATATATTTCAGTGAATGTTTCCAGCAAATGACTTTCTCTTCCTAATATTTTGAAAATAAACTCAGTGATAACAGAGAGAAAAAAGAGAACAAAAAACTGAATTCTGGTGCTAAACTGTGTCACACATACATGCCACCAAAGCCTTAGAAATGTTAGCCCTACAGTTGAAGTATTGCCTAGAATGCCACAAACAAAATAATTAGATGAAACAATGTCCCAGATGATATATTAATTGCATGTAAATTCTTCTAAGGATTGAGGAATAATTTCATTATCAACTTTAATTCCATGATCTTCTTGTAAATATATTCAACCAGACTGAAAACATTTTTACTTTAAATACCTGTAAAATACTAATATGTACAAAAGGAAAAAAGTCAGCTATGGGGAACAATCTACAGATAACTACACTTAACTTTTGTTGTATTTCCAGTTTTCTCACTCCTATGTGGGTATGTGTGTGTGTGTGTGTGTGTGTGTGTGTGTGTGTATAACCCTAGCCCTAAACCTATATATATCAGTGCGTATCTGTATACAAAGCTTATACAATAAGTATCATAGTTATATTATTCATCTTTTTAATATAATATTGTAAGCTTCATTTTTATGCAATAAATAGCTATTCAACTTCTATAAAGAGCTGTTCAACTTTTCATCAAATAAATGTGATGTACTTTATTCTTTAATTCATTAGGCATGTATATCAATGGTTTTCAAAATTTATTGTGAATTTTACTACAAACAAAGATGCAAAAAATCCTCAACAGAGTACTAGAAACTGAATTCAACAACATGTTAAAGGAAATTAAAGGCCAAATGAAGTCTCTTATGCCTGTAATCTAAGCACTTTGGGAGGCCAAGGGAGGAGGCTCACTTGAAGCTGAGAGTTCAAGACCAGCCTGGTCAATATAGTGAGATCTTGTCTCTACAAAACATGAAATATTAGCCGGGCATAGTGGTAAACACCTGTAGTCCTAGCTTCCTGAGAGGCTGAGGTGGGGGGATGGCTTGAGCCAAAGAATTCAAGGCTGCAGTTAGTTGTGATTGCACCACTGCTCCTCAGGCTGGGCAACAGAGAGAGACCCTGTCTCTAAAATAAATAAATAAATGGCATTAAATTAAATACTATGCCAAGTGGAATTGCTTTTCAGGAGTAAACTTACAAAAAAATCAGTCAATATAATATTAATACCATACAAAAATCAATCAATGCAATATATCACATTAATGATATAAAGGGAAAATATATGATTCTCTCAATTGATGCAGAAAAATAATTTGACGAAAGTTCACATCCTGTCATAATAACAACACAAAAAATCCCAAAAACTTCTGGAAGAAAATGTCCTCAACCTAATAAAGGATGTATATGAGAAAACCCACATCTATTATAATAATAGTGATGAAAAACTGATCAAGAATGAGTCAAGACTGTTCGCAGTCACCATTTTCATTGAAGATAGAATTAAAAGTTCTAGCCAGAGTAACTGGGCAAGAAAAAATATTTAAAGGAATCTGAGTTTGAAAGGAAGAAGTAAAATTAACTCTCTTCAGCAAAGTGGCAGGACACAAATTCAACATTAAAAAATCAGTTTCATTTCTATTCTTTCAATGAACAGTTTGAAAAGGACATTTAAAAAGGAATTAACTTACCACAGTATCAAAAATAATAAAATACTTAGGAATAAATTTAACCAAACAGAAAAAAAATGCTACACCAAAAGCTATGAACTATAACTTAAAGAAATTAAAAAGGACATAAATAAATGGAAAGACATCTCATGTCCATAGATTGGAGGCCTGTCTATTTTAAGGTGCTAATACGATCCAAAACAATTACAAATACAATGAAATCTCTCTTAAAATCCCAATGACATTTTTTGTAGATGTAACAAATATCCATTCTAAAATTCATATAGAATTACATGAGACACCAAATAACCAAAACAATCTTTAAAAAAGTATAACATTTTAGGTTTTACACTTTCCAACTTCAAAGTTAGCACAAAGCTATCATAATAAAAACAGTGAGGTATGTGGACATACATATCAATGGAAGACAAACCTGAAATAAACATACATACACGGTCAAATAAATTATACAAGAGTACAAAGATTATTCAATAGGAACAGGGCAATCTTTTTAACAGATGATGTTGAGAAAACTGGATAGCTTCACGCAAAAAAATTAATTTGAAAGCTTATATTATACCATGAAAAAATTAGCTTTAAATGGATCAACGACCTAAAGGTAATAGCTGAAACTTTGCATGGCCAAAGAATGATATCATATGCTTATTACAAGAAGGTTTTGAGACAGCAGAAGCTTTAGCAGAAAAATGCCCAAGACAGCATCATTGAGGAGTCCTTCTCCATAAACACAGTGCTCCTGCTCATTCCTCTCAATAAACAAGGGCCATTTTGTAAGAATTTGATAGGAAATGCTTAGGCATCCACTTTACAGTCCTGATTTGGCTCCTTCTAACTTATTTTTGTTTCTTAGTCTAAGAAAAATATTTTTTTTCATCCCTTAATAATATAAAAAATTACTTCATTGACATGGTTAAATTCCAAAGACCCTCAGTTCTTTAGAGACGGACTACATGGCTGGTATTATTACTTACAGAAGTGTCTTAAACTTGATGGAGATTATGTTGAGAAACAAAATCTATATTTTTTAATCCCGCTTTTTATGGATTATTTGAAGTTTCCATTTAAATTTAAAAGCCTCCTACAAATCAACAGCAAAACAATAAAAAAAAACAACCCAATTCAAATATGAGAAAAAACCTGAATAGACTTACCTTCAAAGAAGATAGATACATGGCTAATAGGCAAGTGAAGAGATTCATAATATCACTAATCATTAGGGAAACACAAATAAAAAACACAAGGAACAGCAACTCATTTTTCAAGAAAAATAAATTCTAGAGTCCCACTGTACGATATTGTGGTTATAGTTAACTTCACGGTATTAGACACTTAAAATTCTAAGAAAGTAGATCTCATGTATCTGTTCTTAAGACAAAAATAAAACAAAATAAATTTCTTTTGATAATATTAAAAGGGTGCAGACACAATACCAATTTCTAACAAGAATGTGAAGCAACTTCTACTCATGCATAGCTCATAAGAGGGTAAGTGAGTTACCCAGGCTTATATAACTGTCACATCTCATTGAAGTCAACTCCTAAGATCTATGCATTTTTTTTTAATTTTTAAAATACAAAATGAGTTTAGTCTTCCTGGATTTAATTGGAACATTTATAGTATTAATTTGAAAGTAGAATGGTTATGAGAGACTTCCTCTTATTCATTGTCAAAAGAGAAATGATATCTGGAATAGTATTACCTAAATCTCAGTGGAAAAAAATCCTCTTTATGCCTGATGTTTGAAATAGTAGGCTAAAGGGAAACATGAATTTAGATATGGATAGATGATAGATGAATAGATAAATAGATATATGGATTAGATACAGAGACATATAGTGAAAGATTGATAAATACAGAAACATAAGCCTTTATGCAAAAACTACATATATGTATTACATAGATGTAAAAATCACAGGTCATTTGCATTTTCCTTTATGTTTTACAGAATTGTATATTTACAAATCAGTTACAAACTTATATAGCATTTAATTTTCAAAGAATGTCTAAATGTATTTAATAAGGTTTGCAAAAATATTGTATGATAAACCAAAATTTGAATATTTTAATTATTTTTCTAGGGAAACATACCTAATTATATCAGAAGTTGACAAATAAAGCCTAGATCTCTTAAATCCCAGTACAGTATTCTCTTTTCTTTTATATGAGGCAATGTTTTGTTTTTTAAAGATTATCCTTATTTGACATAATGAGAACAACATATTTTACTTTCCACCGATATTATCAAATTGATTCTCATCTATTTGTTGTCTCATTCTCAGCTAATTACATGATAATTGATATAATTTGTTGGCATGTGGTCCAGGAGAACAAAATCCATCTCCAAAATAGTAACTGAGAGAACAAATTTTTC